CGGGCGGCGCTCGTGGGTGCCACGGGGCAGGAGCAGCCCCCAGACTCCCTGTGCCCACAGCCCTGCAGCCCTCCGGCCTCCCCGGGTCCCCAGCCCCAGTCCAGAGTTGAGCACCACCCCGGCCGGTGTCTTCCGCACCCCGCTGCAGCTTGACCCAAAGCAGGAGCGGCCACTCTTCTGGCGCCTGGAAGAGGAGTTCCTGGCCAACGCCCGAGCTCTTGACGCTGCTGCTGGCGGGACCGCCACTGGACCAGCCCCTCACCCGGTTCGGGCCCCAGACCCTCAAGCTCCTGACTCAGCCTACTGTTCTTCCAGCGTCTCTTCTTCGTCCCTCAGCATCCTGGGTAGCAAGTGTGGCCAACCGGGGTACTCTGGCAGGATGGCCAACGGGCTGCCCAGGCCCTGAGGCCCAGCCCTGTCTAGTTCCTCTGATGAAGGCAGCCCCTGCCCTGGTGCAGGGGGCCCACGAGATGCACCTGGTGGCCCCCTGGCCGGCCCAGAGGCCCCAAGGACCTGGGCACAAGGCCGGATGGACACACAGCCAGACCAAAAACCCTCACACATCCCCACACCGAGGGGCCCCCACCGCCCATCTGAACCCACGGAGTCTGGGTCCTGGCATGCCCTGCACTCAATCAACTTAAGGTAGAGCCAGATTTCTGGATATGAGGGACCAGCCCAGCTGACCCCAGTCCTCCATTCCTTCTCCTTTTCCTTTGTGGCCTTAACCCCTCTGCATCAGGGAGCCCCCTCCCTTGCCTCTTGGGGATCAGACCTCATGGGACCAGACCCCATGGGACCACAAGGCATAATGGGACCTCTGTTGTACGTTCCGGTTGGAGGATGAGCATTGATATTTAATTACTAATATTATTGAATAACTTAGAGGAGGCTGGGCCAGCCCAGTGAGGACCTCTCTTGAGGTCCTGTGGCCCTGCAGAGCCTGACAGTAAAGTTTTTGTTCCAGCAAAAAAAAAAAAAAAAAGGTATGTAATTCCACTAATTTGAGGTACTCTGAAAAGACAAATTTGTAGAGACAGAAAGTAGAATAAAGGTTACCAGGGCTTAGCAGACTAGGGAGCTGTTTAATGGTTACAGAGTTTGGTTTGGGATGATGAAAAAGTTCTGCAAATGAACAGTGGTCATGGTTGCACAATGATGGGAAGGTACTTAATGCCACTTAATTACACGCTAAAGATGGTAAAAATGGTAAATTTTATGTTATGCATATTTTATACAATAAAAAAGTAATATATCTCCCCCTTTTGACCAAAATAGGCATTAGACCTCATAATTAGCCTAGTAGAATTTCATTTTAAAAAACAGCCACACTCTACATTAAAACATCTGATTTTCCAAACCAAAAATGGGCAGTTATAAAATCACTTGTCAATTAATTTCTAATTTTGAAAAAAGAACTATTACAGGACTGAGAGGGAAAATACAAACTTCAGTTTGTTCACTTTAAAAAATGATTATCACTATTTTTTCCAAACCACTAAGCTCAAACAGAACATGCTAAAATTTTCTAAGAACAAATCAAGCAAAAGATTATTTTCAGAAGTGGAATAAACTTCTGTTTTTTCCGGTATATCATCTCTCTGAAATTTTCACTCCAAAGTAAATTGTACCAACACTTGATATTATTAAGGTGTAAGAAACCATTCTCTCTCTTCAGAATAGCTAATAGAAAAAGATGTGACTTGTCATAATGTTTGGTAAAAAAACAGAAATAATTTTCCAAATATTTAATATTCAGAATCTTTAAAATACCGTTTTAAAAATTGCTGCTATTTTAGAAGAACTTTCTGGGCTCAAAACCACTCACAGTTTAATGACAGATTTAATCTTTAACCCAGAGCACAAGACAAATATATATAATTATTTCTCTAAATGTTTATGAGGGTAAAATTTAATTTACTCTTTGTGGTGCTTTATCACAAGCATTATCCCAAAATATAATGGAATCTAGTTTGTGTTGTTTAAAATGATAAAATGTTAAACTAACCTTCGACAAATGATTGTTGGTACTCAACAACTATAGAGTTGGTGTTTTAGGCATGGGTAAACCTCATTTAACTTAATGTACTCGTAATTAGACTGAACAGTCTGGCCCCAGAGTCTGCACACTTATCCATGATGCTGTTTCCTATATTGCAACTAAGCTTTTTTTCTTTTGTCAAAATAGGTGTACGCTGATAGATTATATGGGCTTTCTTCTTTTAATTATCAGCGGGAAGGGAACATAATAGGAAACTCATGAGGAAAACATAAACATTGCTCCAAGAGGGATCATCAGTTTCTGCTTCATTCAAAGAAGAGTTGCAAAGACACATAAAAACTTTAAAAAGCAAAGCCAAAGTCTACATGCTTTCAACATGCATCTCTATACTAGAAATAGTTTATTGCTTTTTACAATTAATCCATTGCTTTTGGTAACTGAAATCAGAAGATAAAGTTTCACCAGACATTTTCTTTCCTCAATAAATCAGATCTATGTTCACTTACTTTATTAACTTATTTCCTAAAAAATCTCCCCCTTATATTATGTCACATTCTGTGAAAACTAACTGATTCTTCAAAAGGTGACCATCTTAAAAGTAGGTAATGTTTAATTTATGTATTCCAACTAGTTTGCATCTATAGAAATCTCACCAAATGACATGTAAAGATATCTATTCTCACGATAGCCCTATAAAGCAGCATTTCATATGATGGTCCAGAGAAATTCTGAAGGTTAATAACTTTGGAAATGTTCAATGACATTACCATAGATTAAGACATTGGTCTAGCAAGAAATAGCTCAGCTTTTTAATATCCAATGTAATATTCTACCCTTGATATATTACTAGCTCCATTTAACACAGGAAACATTAATGTTTAAAATCAATTAAAATTCATAAAGAACTATATGTTTTCCATTGTGTAAATGAATTACATTATATAGAGGTTATTTCAGAGCAGTTTATTTAATAGACCTTTCAATTCTACCCGCTCTGCCAGTGACAGGCTTTTTAAAAAGCAATTAATTTTATCTAGGTAACAGGGGTTAAATATTTCCCCACTCCACTTGTCTAATACTTTATTAAATATATGATTTAACATATAACATATATTTTGTTGCAAAAGAATGACAAGCATTGGTTAAACGAAGAGCAATTTCCCTGTCTGCCCTTTCTTGCTGAATTAAAGCTTGATTCTAGTTCGTTGTATGGTTCTGTTAATAAAACTGTCTATTTAAAACAACTGTTAAAGTCTACAACACTAACAGAATGGATGTATTATCCTAGAATCTCAACAGAGGTGTTTTCTTATGTTAATCTGAGTCTTTATAATACATGCCATTCACAGAGAGTTGTTTTCTTAATAGAAACAATTTATACTTTCAGGGAGCTCTAAAATCTAACCCAACCTCCACAACTTTCCTAACATGAAATGAAGGGGTCATATTAATTCAGAAAAAGGGGAAACTTGAGGCTTTGTTTTTCTTTTCAACAGCACAAATAAGTTTCTGGAAGCAATAGAACCACAAATTCTAACACAACACTGGCTACATATAATTAACTGGGTGACCAACTGAAGACAGCTCCTCAGAAAGCTTTGCCCAGAACATTTTGGCATTTCATCCAATTTATAAGCTTCTGACTGAGAAGCTTATAAACCCCTATACTACTTGATTTCTCAGAACAGAACCCAGGGATAGCCTCTCTCAAAAGCTATGTGAGCTCTTCACAGGCTCACAATGATCCTGGGATACTGACGTAAGACCAAATACACGTTCATGAATAAATTCATTCTTCAAAGTATAATGTGCTCAGAAAGAGTTGAGTCTATTTACTGTCTTCAAATATGGCTAAGAGAAATAAAAATTAGATATAATAATTATCACAGATCTTTCTAGATATGAAAAAATTAACAATATATTGGATACTGGCAGAAGAAATTCTTCTAGAGGCCAAAGAGATGCTGTGAAAGAGTCCTTTAAGGCAATGAGATATTCAAGCTTCAGGCTAAACAGGGAAAAACATTCTGTAGAAGAAAATGTTATAATAAAGTTTCATATTTTCAAGCCCTATTTCTGCTAGGAAGCTGAAGAATATAACTTTCATATTCTAGTCCCATCATATTACAGAAGGACTGTTGCTCAAGAGAGAAGCAACTGGGCTTTGGAAAAATTCTATTAGCTTAAGAAAAGAAGAGGTCACTTCATAATAAAAAGGAAGATCATAACCAGGGTACCTGGGTTTACCTTTGCTTTGCGAAAGTGGTAGACAGCCAGCATGCTAACGAAGTCGAGCAGCATACACAGGGCTTGGAAGGAGATGATAGCAAGTCGCAAATATTTATCCTCCTGGACAAAGCAGGGGCTGTCATCAGCACAGTAGGGACAGCCCTCCCTGCAGGGTAGGCAGACATGGGCTTCTTCTGACACATCCTTTGCACTTCCTGCAAAATGGTGATCCGGACCCCTTCCTGAAAGTTCCAAATAAAACCACATTGTCATTGCACTTCTCAGGGAGATGAGACTAAGTACAGAGTCAAAACACATCCTCATCTCTTCATTCTTTTCCCCTCTTATTAAAGACCTTTCATCAACCTTCTTGCTAGGGGAGAGAGTTGCTTCACCTCTGGAGTCAAACAAAATTCTTTTATGCTTTTGATTTGAAAGAAATTGCATTCAGAGTAATTGAAGAAAATTAGCAAAAATTGAGCCAAAACTCATTAAAGGCAGGGCACAGTTTTCTAAGTCTTTTATATCATTATCTACCACTCACCAATGGAAACTCCCTGTGGCACAAATCATATTCCATAAATATTTGTTAAAGAATTAACTAGAAGGAAGGTTAAGGAAGTTGTGTCATTCCTGTAGCAAGTAAACATACACAACACTTTTGGAACTTCTTGACCTAGATGGCACAGAATCCAAAATGAGGCTTTGATTGCAGCTTAATCCAGCAGGGATCTCATCTACCAAGTTCATTAGGTCTAAATTGGATAAAATGGTACTTAATCGACAGTTGTTCAGTGTGCACTTGCCTAATGATGGTGCATCCTTTGCCCAGAGTACAATCCATACTTACAGGCTATCATGTAATTTCCTATTCTGCACACCCATAGGATGTTTCCACACTATTAACTAACTGCTGCTATTGACCATCCCTTTAATTTTGTCTTAGTTATCAAATTTAGATCTGAAGTCCAAAAGGTGAGAATTCTCTTTAAGTGTTGAGTTGAGTTTAGCATTTACAAATACCCAATTAACAACACATACTTAAAAAAAAAACAAACCTGTTTCCAACATGAAAGACATTCATTAGTGAATGTCTTCCCAATTTAGTATATAACACAAGCACACAGTTCAGTATATAACACAACTTTGACTGAGGAATTTGGGAAAGGAGTTGTTCTGGTTAACAGTATTTTAATAACACAAAGTTTCACAGAAAGTCTTTATTACTTTTAACTCTTGTTGAAAGTTCACAATCTTTCTCAAATGTATTTTTGTCTTCATTCCTTACTTAATAAACATGATAGCAAACATAATTGAATATTTCTTTGTTGATCCAGGATATACTGCTGTTTAAGAGTCTTCATTTCTGTTACACAGTGAAAAGCGGATGAATTTTAGCATCCATCTAATACAGCTCCCATCTGAGACCTTAGGCAACTCACTTGACCACTTTGGGCCTTAGTTTATTTATATATGAAATGTGAATTGCTGTGGGGTTTAAATGAGATAATGTATATAAATCACAGTGTCTGGCTTTCTCTTCTTCAAATATGGGAGATGCAAAGAGGAATTAGGAATCCATTGATACCTTAAGGAAAGGCACTACTGTCCAAAAATAAGGAAGTTTACAAGAAATAGGTGAGATATGGAGGGAGTCAGTGGGAATGATAAGCCTGATTGAGATAAGTTAAATTTGAGGTTCAACTCATTTTTCAGGACAAATCTGCAATAAGTGAGAAATAATATGAGATTGGGGTGTGAGAGAAGAATCAGTGTCAGAGAACAAGAACCCACATGGAGCTCTGGGAGTAATTAAGGTAATGACTAGGAATTGCAATGAGGAAGAAGCTAAACAAGTAGAAGTTTTCACAATGCAATAGAAGAAAACTGGGATTTACAGGAACATGCTGGAATGTGATCAGAGAGCCTGAATGAGGAGACTATGAGGTTTGATAATTACTTCATCCTTCATTGACCTTGAAGACAGTAGTTTCCAGATAGTGGCAGAGATTGAAATTAGGTTGTCAGGGCTTAAGGAGTAAATATGTGATAAAAAAGAATATTGTTTCAATAAATGCTACACTGAATTAAAAAAGCGAGAAAAGCTCATGGTTAATAGGAATAGTAATGGGGTCAAAAAAAAAAGGATTTTGGTTTTGTGTTTTGTTTTCTTGTATTACAGGTGAGATCTTAACATAGCTGCTGTCAGCAAAATGAGGTAATGAAAATTAAAGAAAAATTGAGAAGATTAGTAAAGACTCGAGAAGTCAGGATTGGAGATAATCAAGAGCATAGTTGGAGAAATTAACTCTAATAACTGATGTCTCTTCTAACACTAGAAAGTAGAGGTATAGTTAAGATTTTTAAACTATTTTTTAGAGAGAGGAGAAATCAACTGAAAATCATTTTGATGTAGTGAAGAAAGGAAATATGGAAGTCAATCTTATAAAGTCTTACACTTTTCAACAGCTCAGGTAAGAATATGTGTTGAGGATGAAGGTGGCCAGTTTTGAGGATGAAGACATGAAAGATTAAGGGAGCAATCAAATACAAGACGGCTGGTTGGATCACTTGGCAGAAAAGGAATCCAGTCAGAGTAAGATGCTATGATTTATTAGATTCAGTCAAGATAGTTTTTTTTTTAATTTTCTACAAGTATCAGTAGCATAGAAACAAATGAGGAGAACAGAGCATTTGAGGGGAGAAAATAAAGAAAAAGGATTGTAACAATGTTGTTGCAGGGAAGGAGGAAAACCCAACACAAGGCTGTGTAATGGAGCTGCAGCCTGTACTCCCTTGGAGGAGCAGATGCTCGATCTTCCAGGGACCTCCCGAGTATGAGTCAATCTAAGGGACTAAAGAGGAAAACACTGCCCCATCTTCAACCTTACTCATTCCTCAAAGGTAGCCTCCAGAGTCATTAATTTCCACACATTTCTGGGCTTTGCACTCAAGAGTTCAGAGCAGATTCCTACACCCTGAAAATTAACTTCAGTCGTGCCCCACAGCAGGATAGAAAGTCAAAAGTGGGGTCTCAGGCAAAGCCAAGTACAGCTGTACTTACGCAAAGCTGTTCAAAGCTTTCAGGAAATCGTCACAGCAATGGCTAGGGTAAGAGGCAGGGCCAAGAGGCATGTGGAAGGATGAAAAACAGGTGTGCAATACAGACACAAACTTGAGGAATAATGGGACACACAAGCCAAAAGCTATGAAGTTTGAAAGCCTAGGTTACTAAGAAAACAATGAGTTAACAAACTCTTGAGTGAAAACTGGACAGTCATGTAAGTGAAGCCAGAAAGATCACTGTACTTGGTAAGAATAAAAAAGCTGTCAAGGATTCAGATGGTCTGATGAGGTTGACAGAAACGTCAAGGGTGCTAAGAACAGATTTGGGAGACAGAAGTTGACATTTCCTCTTCTGGCCAAGATGGAAGAATTGGGATTGAATTTACTCTTTCATCAGAAACAACGAAGAAATGAACAAAATATTAAAAAGTAATTGTTTTACAGACACTGGACATTCGTAACAAAGGGCAGCGATTCCTACAAAGTACAAACACTCTTCAAATGAACCAACCGTCATAAACAGAACCAAAACAAAAGTTAAAATAGTAAAAATAAAGTATCTATAGAAGATCTTTGTTTTGTGAAATAGTCCTTCTTAACTCCATCTTGGCTTTTTTGCTTCAGCTAAATAGCCAGATATTTTTCATAGGTTTAAAAAGCACTTGGCTGCCTGTAAGCCAAGCAGTATATATAGTTTACTCTCAATACAAATTAAACTTGAAACCTCACCCCCATCTGCAAAGGGATTCTCCTGATGGTATCAGGAGAGGCTACTTAGCACACTGAATCACTTGAACCTGAAAAATACTGCAGCATGTTAACCTCTCTGTGTATTTGAGCTTGTTAGCTTTTGTACCATACGGCCATGGCAAGCAATGACAGTCACATTTTAGATACAGCTGATAAGTCCTTCAGCTTTGTAAAAATTTCAGTCATTTTTAACCCATCGAAATTTGAGAGTTCCTTTCTGCTTAGAGCCAAATCTGTGATCCATTCCAGTCAACGTAGAAAACCTACCCCTACCCCTGACTTTTCTCATGACCATTATTTTACTTTTGCTCGATTTCCTCATCTGTAGCTGTGACCCTGCCGCATAGTATGCATTTCTGTAAGGCGCTCTGCATCACTCTGGAATGAGCTATGAGACAGAAGGAACTGGGAGAATGGTACCTCAAGTTGTATAGCATTTGACAGATACAAATTATTATTCAATTCAACAACTATTTTCTGAGTGTCAAATTATGTGTCACACACTGTTTTAGTGGGATAAAGCAGTGAACAAAACAGACGAAGGTATCTGTGTCTGTGGGACTTATGTTCCAGTGAGGGAAACAGACACAACCAAACAACATAGCAAGTAAATTGTATCATATGTTAAAACTTAGAAGTGTTAATATAGCCAATATTTTATAATCACTATAAATGGAGTATAACCTTTAAAAATTGTGACTCATTATAGTGTACACCTGTAACCTACATGATATTGTATAGCAACTATACTTCAATTTAAAAATTAACAAATAATATTTCCCCCAAAACAACTGAGAAGTGCCAAGAGGAGAAAAAAGTGAAGTGAAGTCGGGGGCATCAGATGTGCTGGCGTGGGAACTGCAATTTTAAATAAAGTGGTTAGGGTAGATCTCATTCTAAAGGTGCTATCTGAGCAAAGATTTGAAAGAGGTAAGGGGGTTAACCATTCTGATTTATGAGGGAAGGGAATTCCAGGCAGAGGACACAGCCAGTGCAAAGGTCCTGAGGTGGGAGCATGACTGGCATATACGAGGAAGTGCAAAGAGGCTGATGTGGCTGGAGCAGACTAAGTGTGGGGCAGTACAGTAAAAGGTGAAGTCAGGGAGGTAACAGGGTCAGATCATAGAAGGCACTGTGGGCCACTGTAAAGACTTGGATTCTTCCCTCAGTAAAACAGACAGCCACCATGGGAGTATTGAGTAGGGGAGTGATGTGATATGCCTCATGTTGTTAAAGGATGACTCTGGTTGTATAGAGAATATAATGCAGCAGGTAAGGGAGAAGTCAGGAGTCTTGTGAAAAGCTATTGCAGTAAATCCAGGTGAGACTTGATGGTGGCTGGGGCCACAGGGGAACAGTGAAAAATGGCTGGATTCAGATATAGTTTGAAGGTGGAGTCGACAGAATTTTCTGATGAATTAGCTAT